CCCCAAAACCCCAAAACCCCAAAACCCCTGAAGTTCTTTTAATTAATTGTCAAGTTAATATTTTGTCAGCAATTAAATAGGTCTTATAAATTTATTTATTTAATGAAATCTGCAACTACTGTTTGTGGTAATTTTTTCTGCAATCACACTTGAATACATATCAAAGCATTTTATAGTTCTAACCACAATTGGAATTGCTATAGTTCTATTCCTATCGCTGTTCCTCTCATCTATGCACGTGATTGAGATAAAGTAATCAAAATGCATTAATTTATGATTAGCAACTTTGGCATGAAGTACAAAACCCTTGACTATCATGTTACTGGTGAAATTTATGGCAGCGGTCGTCACTTTTCTGGTAATCTCTAAGTTTTTTAATTCATCAATCTTGTAGGTATTGCCACTGACTTCATTCAATATCCTTCCAGAATAGTAGTGTTTCTGTTTTCTGATGATGATGGTGCAGATGTAAGTAACTTACCTTATTATGAGAGAGAATTTACTGAACTTCACTTTTTAGTATAAAAAACTATCTGCATGGACGATTAATGGTCAGACTATCTTTTTAGAAATGAGTTTCTTCGCCAAGTTCATTAATAGAGACAAGATCAGCGATTTCTTCTTTGAGTTTGGAAGTCAGTGGAAGGGGTATTTCGTTAGAATGGCTCTGGCCAAGATCAAAGAGACGACCACACAGTTCTAGGAACTTGACTTCTATAATAAAAGAGCAATCATCAATGACTACTTGACCAAAGAACTATCTCAGTTGTTTTTAAATCAATCTAATAACGCTCTAAATGTGACTGAGGTGCAGTTAAGAAAGATTGAATTGGAGGAAGATCTAGAAGATGCTGTGGAGGATAAGTTGATTGAACTGCAGTCTCAGAGAAAATGGATTATTAATCAAAATATCTCCATCATTAAGAAGGAAACAGAGTTGATTCAATAATATGCTCAAAACAATATTACTGTTATCTATGCCTAAGCCACAGCTAATGCAACTTTAATAAAAGCAAGAGCAGAGGCGAATGCCATCAACACTGAGTATGTAGGTTATGCAAATGCTTTTAAACTCTTAAAAGACTTTGTTGGCTTTACAGACACAAATGCCTGGATCAGCATAATGTTTGCCGAGATGCTTACTAAACTAACGGATCAAACGCGGCTTAATCTGGGATTTACCTCAGATCGCCAAATAGCATCTCTCTACTCATTAATCTGAATATCTTTTAATTATATTATGAATAGTACGATGTAATTCTAATATATTTTAGTAATGATTAAATCGAATTCATCAGCAAAATTTAACATCATGGGGTTTTGGGGTTTTGGGGAGATCGGAAGAGCGTC